TCCCTGAAAATTTATGGGAGAACAATGTTCACACAAACTTGAATTGAACAAATAAATTAATAAAAATTCTTATTCCTTTCATTATGGAAGTTATCATTGAGTTAATATATTAACACTTGCAGACATGATAAGTTCTTTATAGTATCGTGTTTCCATAGTCTACTTTTACGTGTTTGCACAAAAGTTCTCCTTTACTGAATTTATGGAGAAAATGAAAGACAATTCAGTGAAGAGAATTTTCCTCATTGACGACGGTTCTCTTCAGAAATCAGTCAACAGGAAACCAACATGGAATCGTCTGTACACAAATTTTCACAGTTGAGTCACTTTGAGTGAGAAGAAAGAGAAATCTGATCTAATCCTCATCCTCGAGAATAAGAAGTATATGCACCAGGGATGATACAATCGATGGTGAACTGGAGTGATTCAGACAACTAAGTCCTCATGGAGGATGGATTCCCTTCAAGATTCATCGACAACATGATGAAAGTAATGCAAGAGTCAGAAAGAAGCCAAACAGTGACGAAGAAGCAGCCATTTATATGGACGCCTAATTTGAAGATGATGCTGTAGCTGAGATTCTGAAGAATGGCTTATGCAGATTACTGAGACAAGCCTTCTTTTCATCTGAGATGCAGATCAATTTCGACAGCCGACAAATGGTCAATGGATGTGTGGAGGATATACTTCCATTTTGGATGGACCACATCAATGTTTGTTTATAAATTCATATGTTCCTGTGGAGCTAGTTATATTGACCTCACAAAATCCATACTATCCCAACGAACATCTTAACATTATCTGACGTGGTTAGCGAAAGGACAATGCAGGATAGTTACTGGCTTCATTTTTGAGAACTTGGTGAACCCATGCCCCGCAGCTCCACCAGAGTGATCTTTTGAGATTATCTGCAAGGTGAGAGTGAATGGTACAAAAGGCGTTAGTTTTTGGCATTTGTTAACATAATTGTGGAAATTCGTCTTTTGGGTATTGCGAAGGCGTTGGCAATTCGTCAGTACAACGCCGAACTCTGTATACAGAATGCGTCCGTCCAATCTCATATTATACCATGCTCTTAACCTCTTCATTAGTCGTTTCCTGGAAATTTCTATTTCTTCTTTTTAATGATTAGTTTGCTTTTACTTTGATAGTTAATGTAACATTACCACTCTCTCACACGCTCCATTTGCACATTTTCTCACCCTCTTCACACTTGTTAAATGGAAAATCGAATACTGTTCTTCTCACTACTCAATGACAACTTTAACCTCATCGAATTCTAACACTTCATCCTTTTGTGCGGTTGTTGACTGATACGTAATTTATAACTTTTATCTTTACTTTTGAAGCCACTTCTGAGTAATTACATCAATTACATCTGTTGGAGTTCTGGAATAAATTATCAAATGGAATCAACATAATCAGCTACATTGCATCTAAGTGATACATATGACTCCGTCGCACTGCTTTCCAAAGAACCATTTCGAGAACTTCCTGATCAGTGACACAATCATAGAAGAATAGTAGTCTTCACAATCACTACAGCAACCTTGACAAAATAACGTAGAAACCCATTGAGTTCCTTGACTTTCAAGGGACCCTTACTACTTTTCAATTCATAAATAATCCACATCAGACATTAGATTACCTGTCAGTATGACTTCATTTCTTTCCTGTTTCGCTTAAACTTGGCGAGTTCATTCACAGAAAAAGAAGCACATTTTTACTCCATACTTCTTTCTTTCATGAAGTTAGGTGAAACGATATACATCAGTTTCATTTTCTAATATCCAAGTGTCGGTTTGCAGCGGGGATTTGATTGATCACAGGATTTCAGCATGAGCTGACGTTGGTTAGAGAACCATTGGGAAACCACTTGAGAGTACTGAACAGCTATTTCGTCCTAGTTTGAGACACTTCAGCAGTGCGCAGGTTGGGTGTGAGGACAAATACTCGGCACCGATGAAATCGGTTAGTGCCAATCGCGCTATATCGTGAATGAATAGACAGAAGTTAGAATTCATGGGCTGGCTATAGGATTGCTGGCTCCTGGTGGCTGGTGAATGGTCTACGAGCTCGCTCGCCTTGTAACCGGAAGATTGTGGGTTCGGACCCTGGTGGTGGGAGCGTACTGCTGATGAGTCCCGAACTGGGACGACGGAAACAGCTGTCTGGCAGTACTCCCTGCTGGTTTTTCAATGGCTATGTCGCCAATATTAACTCATGATGAAATCACTTTTTAATATTTTATTATTTAATGTCATACATTTAATTTAGTCAAAATAAAAACTATTCAAGAATTATATCATTATTCTTCAATAGTGCTATAAAAATAACAGGTGTTCTCAAAATTCCATCTAGTTATACTCATCACAGAAGATTTTAAATTTCGAAATTTAGGAGTTTTCACCATTTACTAGTTGCTTGCTGCTTTACTAATTATGGAAACAAGTGTGAAGCTATCTTGATGTTAATTATTTCACTGTGTAATACCAACTACTGACAACTTCCCTTTTGAATATCTGGATAATTTGAAGTTGTTTGTTTTGTGTGTGAAAATACCCTAGAGTAAAACTAGTTGTTTAGAACTGCGGAGTCTTCAGTGAATACGTAATTTGCAAAACTTATGGCCCCCACTTCCTAAGAAGTTACAGTCAGCATGAAATACGTCAAATTAATGCCCATAAAAATGGCCGTTTAAAATGATATTCTAAATGTACTACATGCGACGAAGTAGATTCTTCAGCTTCACCGCCAACACTGACGGGTGTCTGTCTGGTCCTAGCTTCACGGCATGGAACTGCTACACCGACAGCTGTCTATGTGTCGAACTCCACTACCAACAATCGTTCAACTAATACCTACCAGGTCCTTTTATCATCTGACCTCTCAGATACGTCCTCAAAATCTCCTAATGCCTCCTTCTTCGAAAGCAAAGAGTCATGGGATCTTCATTGTCTGGAGGCAGAGACGCTAAATGTAACTCTAGAAGACAAGAGACTTGGTAACGGAATATTGATTTACAATCTGATATACACATATGGGTAAATTATGTACACCTTATATCAAAATCACCATTTGCACCGATCTCCCGTGTTGTGAGTTACCTCTGCCCTTCGTATTGTCTTTCTTTGTCTTTTCGTGTCTCCCATGTTTTGCCGTAATGCACTGGTTGGTTCATTTCCTCCCTTTTTGAAGTTAAATCTGTCTCCTCGCTAGTTGATGTTACTTCTGTGCCGGTGAACATCTCTTTATATACTACCGATAAGTCTTGTCAGTAACACACGCCACACTAGCATACTTGTAGCCATCACTAACGATATATACATATAAATTTAAAGTATTTGTACGAGTTTTGACCTTAGTAAGGACACAACTAAGGCATTAGAGTGAGTGAACATAATGTAAAAGCCATATATCAATGGGATAAATGTTCAGAGAACATACCCTAGAACTAGGGTATAGGGTGACTTGGAATTTTACGACTGGTAAAAGTATCATTGAATTTCGCGCTGATACCTAGGTACATTTGATGATATTTGAGGAAGTTTGTCCGTTACATTTAAGCGAGCATTTTTAGATGATGGAATTTCCTATTGGAGATGATTGTCAACATGAAGAAGATGTACCTCTTACATAGAATTCGTAAATTTCTGTAAATATGTATTCCCAAATACCTCAGCCACATGTAGGAATTTCAAAGGGATACAGTAGAGGAAACCTTTACAGTGTGGTCAGTGGAAGTTTACTCAACATTAGCCAGTAACTGGTGTAATGTATCCTTTGTTTACTGCAGACTAAATTCTGCTGTTAGTCAAGTTTGCAATGTGGTCACCATGCTAGGTAGATCGACATTACGACGCACTGCACTGTGAATTGTTGATATTAGATGGTTGGAGGCGAATGGCCACGGGAAGGCGTGCTTCTCCTCGCTTTCATCGTAGTTTGCACTCACCAGTTGTCCAGGCGTATTTGAAACCTTGGGGGGAGGAACCTACATCCCTTCTGAGATTCGAACCCGCCTCACCCAGTGACTGTTTCAATCAGAGAAGTTACCACACTGAGGTATTCGGACTGGCGATTGATCTCCTGTAGGACTGTATTGGATACTTTGTTTGGACACTAGTTAGCTAGTAACTAGCGTAATGTGTCTAGTCCTTTTTTGGTGCATATTGAATTGCATCAGTCAAGTTTGGAAGTTGAATTACTTTTGAAATTTTCTCTGATCATTCAATATGATAGTTAGCTTGTCTATGTATTCCCTCTTATTCACGATTACTACTTCACAACTTTTATCCGGTCTCGTAATTATTAAATTCGCACATTTCTGCACAGTTCAAGGACATCAACAGAAGTCAACAAGTGACTGTATATTTATTTTCGCCCAACCTCAATATGAAAATCATATTTTCCATCTGACAGCGTATTAGATGCTTTGGAGGCATCACTCATTCTTATGCTGTTTGTAATCTAAATTCAACTAAATCTAAGCCATCTATAAAGAGTCAGACACAATTCGCAAAAATCGTTAGTGGATGTATCAAAATACTTCATCTTGCTTCGATTTGATCGCAAATTTTAACTGTGTAAAGGCTTCCCATAACGATTAAAATTAACACTGAACTCTAATGCAGGCAGTCTTTGCTTCAATAGGCTTAGAGTTATATTTCAGAGGTTCATTGAGACCCCCAATTTGAGACGAAGTGCTCAGTGTAATCAGTCGGGTATGCCCGATGCTGGCGTATTTGTGAGAAAACTAAACAAGAGGATGTAAACATTCTGTGAATTGTTTCCTTAAGACTAATGATGATAAATCTCTCAGAAGCACTAAGTTCTTGTGTTTATGAGCACTGGTTAGCAAGACATACCAGCGTGTACAGATCGCTTTAAAAACGTTGATATTAAACATCTACAACTTATTCAAAATATTTCCAGTTTACTGTAGAAAAGACGCGTATTTAAGGAAGAAATAAATATCTTCGAATAAATCATAAATAAAAGTAGTACAGAATAAAAATAAAATTCACACAAATCCAAGAAAAATATTGGCGAAATTTTGGTATCATGTTGGCTTCATTTGTGTGTTTTTTCGTATAACTGTGAAGATGTTGGAGATAGTCATAAGATACAGCATCTGTAGCAGCACAATCATTGTGTTTTATGTTAGGTAGGATACAACAACATAAGAATCATTCAAACAGAATGCATGCAGGCAGTAAGTAGATGAAATTGATTTGTCGCAGGGGATGAGTGAAACTGTCATCACTTATTTTCCTCTCTATTAGTTAGTTAATTATTAATTGAAACATTGTTTATTATTTCCTTAATCCATGACTGTAAAATTTGAGCACTTTTGTTTGCAGTAGCTACAACCTCCTCATGATTGGCTATTGCCTTACTCTCTACATCGAGAATACACACATTTGTAACCAATGAAACAGCAAAGACAGTCATTCCACAATGACGTGCAATTAACACTTCTGGAACCGTACTCATGCCTACAACATATTTAGAAAATACAAATTGAATTTGCAGTAAATAGTGACAAAAGTCAAAATATGTGTATGTTATTCCAACCAAATCACCATCTGTTTCAGAAATCTTTTGCCCCCCATTCCCTGACTGACTGACTATAATTGATTTGAGAATATACATTCGTCAGATAAACTTAAGTTCTCTTCCACTTTCAGCACTTCTAATGAAATTAAACAGTACCTTGTTATGAAATATGAATTTATGCTGTAATGTGGGACACTATCAGGAAGTCAATAAATTACAGTAGTATGAAAGAATTTGATATAGAACTCTTTGTTATCCTTTTTCGTAAGCTTACTAAACAGCATTTTATAGTTTGGTGGGATTATCTTGTTGCTTTAAATTCCAAGTAGATTATGATTACTTGGAATCAGGTCACTCCTATTAATTGATGAGTTTCAAATAGTTCGCGATGAAGTTTATTTATTTATTCAATTATTCTATCTAATGGTTCAACACGTCGTGGAATGCTAACAGAATACCTTTCAAACCAGCTTTTAGTTGTCAAGTTAAACCCAGACACAAAACATAACTCGGAAATCAACTGTTTGCCCTAGGTTGTATTTTAGTCAGCCAGTGCTTCAATCTATTTGTCACTAAGTCAGTTAACTTAAATCTCCACTCAAAAATCACTGATAAGATTGCCAAATTCTATTTTGAATTCGACCAATACAATGTTAGAAATAGTATTTCGACACTCCCTAGAAAGACATGGAACATGGACATTATTTTAATTCACTCGAATTTCACTTCAAACTGATTGATGCTTTCATTACTTGAGTGCATTATGTTAAAAGAAGGTAGAGTAAGTTCTACCCTCAAACACACACAAAAGTCATTTTACAGACAAGCAAACGCCACAAAGCAGAAACCTACACATGAGTTCCTCACCTAAATCTGCATGATAAGGAGAATAAAATGATTAGAAATACAGATTTGTTATTGAGATCGGAAACAGCATGTTAGTGGGAAGAATATGTGGTATGTTAAAGAGTCTAGGCTATTTAAGAAACACAGGGGCAATCTCACACCAGTGTAACTAAATTGTATTCATATCACCTAACTTTCAAATCTCTCGACAATTACCATCTAATACATTCCATATGTGCAGATTACTTTTCCGTACAAAGCTTAGCATACCAGCTAAGCCTTTTTAACATCATGAATCCTAAGAAGTTATCCTCAATCTTTTCTGTCTCAGTAGCAGATCAACCAGCTGTAATCAGCATTTCAGGAGAAATTTGTATGCGCATACCGTACTTCTGACTTACCAGCCACGTCTGCACCCATCGCGAGCAGCATTTTGCATTCAGCAGGGGATTCGTATGTTGGACCACCAGTAAAAGCATATACACCTTCATGAACCAAATGACGAATATTCATTTTCTCAGATAATTGAATGGCCAATTTACGAATTTCGGAGTTGTATGCATTTGAGGTTGCTAAGAATCTGGGCCCAAACCTATTTATTATAAATGTTAAAATTAATTGCAACAAACTTCTCCTCATTTGATCCCATCAGCACATTATTCAGAGCTAGACCGGGTAGGCTTATGTGGTCTTTTATCACCATGAAATCACCACATTTGAAACCTCTGTTCAGACCACCACATGCATTACTTACTATAAGCACTTTGACTCCCAAAAATTTCAACACGCGAATAGGAAGAGCGATCTTCGGTGGAAGATGAGTAATATACATCACATCTTACTTGTTCTTTAGAGTAGCCCTCATACATGTGGAACCTGCCTTGCATGGCAACCACTTTACGATTTCCAAGTTGACCGAAAACTAGATTGCCCGCATGTCCGACCACTGAAACGAATGAAAAAGCTTCGCTTACGCCTTACCGCTTGTCCGAGGGAAATTTGGTATGTCTTCATATCGAATGACAGTTTTATCTTCTATTCCATCAGCCAAGTTACCAAGCCCACTTCCACAGATTATTCCTATCTCTGGCACTATTCGTATTTGCTTCTTGATGTGGTCTGCTACTTTGCTGGCATTTTCGTAACTTGCAGTAATTGGCTGTGACCTATAATTCGATTTTATCGAAACTTGTCAGACCTACATGGCAGAGGAACCTGTGAGGAACTGAACGCCAGAAAAGTGATTCACAATCAGAGAGAATCATACTTTTTAAATTAGTTACAGAACATTCAAAAAATACAAAATGGGCTATCTTAGCTTTTTGAACAAGTGCTGAACAGTCTGTGATTAAGAGGAAGTAAGTCTTCAGTCACTACAGTCACGAGGCACTTGGTTGGCTCAGACCATAGAGCGGACACAATTAAATGACACGAAATTTTTTCAACCGCCAAACTTAGCATGTGTGTGCCAAAGCATCTTTCCATGAGAAATCAGGAGTCAATTATCAACTAATACTGGTATCACTACGATCGACGCCGAGCACGTAAACTACACTATTTACGAAACATCATGTACTAAATACACGCAATACCTCAATATAATTTCATACACATGTGCGCTTCCTGGCAACACAATCAGACTAATTATTACTTGGATTTGAGGCAAGTTTCTGCTTTTGTGAAGTTTATGCTGATTAAAATCCATTTCGACATCAAATATCAGTAAACTTGAGGCTCTCTACATTTACAGTCACATTTATCATATTCATGGTGCGAACATTAATCGGATTTCTGACCAAGTATCCCTCATTACTGAAATTGACTGTACGTACCCAGATACTTCAAAATCTACATTGGAAAACATACCAGTTGAACGGTTAGCGGTAACACCTAATTGTTTTCAATAAGAACAGTCAATGACCTCAACAACTCTGTTCACATAAACACATACAGGGTCAAATGTCTTAGTGACAGGCTAGTGTGAAACTAATGATCTTTCACAGCTATCTTTTCAAAGTTATGTGAGTTTCTTTGCATTGGGAAACGGTAGATCTACTCTCCGCTTAATTTATCTACATTGAAATGGGTTAGAATGAAGGTAAGTTTAGAATATGAGGAACAGTGTTTTAGTGAGTAAGGTGGACATAAGCTGCAGAATGCAAGGGAATGACAGTAACCTGATAACATTTTCATCTTTGATTTTGAATCGTCATTTCACTAGAAAACCTTTCAGATCATTGCAGGAGTGAACAGGTCAGAATGCTGTAGCAGGAAAAACCGAAAAATCCTGTTGGCGAAACATATGTATCAAAATATAATAGAAAGATATTGAGAATGGGAGAGGAAGAATATTCGTGGAAAACAAAAAGTAGGGGAATACTATAAGAAAGTAACCGGAATGATTGTGGTGTTAATTCTACTCCACAAATCTAGACGGTTTCCTTCGTAGGGTCTGTTCAGCAATTGATAGCAGTTAGCAATTAGGGAATTCAGGAAAACAAGACGAGTAAAATATATGACCTATTTCCTCTCAGTGATTTTTAAGGCTCTCTCTGTCCATCGAACGATATTGGGGCGTGAATTGTCTTCCATGTGTTTGTTTAGGTTTCTCCTATCCACTTGCTCGCCAGTGTGCTTCCGAAATAAACTAACTCGTAAACTACTCTATGCGTTTTGCCAGTCGAGAATTCATGCAATTGTTTTGTTAGGTGGGTCGGTTATTAAATCTTCCCTTTCCTACATTTCATAGCCACTTAGCCTTCTCCATAAGTCGTGAATTCCATAAGCAATAAACTCCAATGAAAAGAAATCTGCCCGTCCTCGTGTTTGTGACTACTACTGTATTCTTCTGCTCAACGACGAAATACGTCTGAGTTTGTAGTGCTACTTTGCTACATTGTTGCCACAGGACATTTGGCCTTCTCTTACTACAGGCTTTTATGTTCCTGTGATTCCTTGTTGTGTGCTAAGTCCGAGGGAAACATCTTAAGATTTTTGAACAGTGAGAGTTCACCGTTTTCGTCGTGATGTACTGGCTTTGAAGAGGTAACATTAACCAACATAACCAGCAAATGCTTGTAGCCACAATCTCATTCATTCCCATCTGTGTGAACAACCCCTGCAACTGATCGACTACATGGAGGCACTTTGTGACCATGTAACGGGCTACCGATTCCATGAATATACCCATATTTCAAACAGTGCTACACGAGTAGTCTCCTTCGTGTCCCACTATCCTTCGGACAGTAATGTGACATTAGAAGGTTGGTAAAAGCTTACAGCTGAGATGATGGTCAAACTTGTTTCAGATCATTCGTTGGGCTTGGGAAAACTCTACAGAGTGGTGGTTCTTGTGAAGTACGTATGAAATAGTTTAGTCCGTGGATTGCCTACTCTAAATGTCCACTACTGGCTGTCAAACGGCTGTCTTATATCCAGTCGGCTATCCTTACGAATGTGTGAGTCAGAAATAACTAGCAAGTGTCACATTCCGTCCATCCTGCCATGAGTTGACCTTAAAGATTGTAATGCCTAAATGAGAGGCATTTTTTCACCACCTCCTTCCAGAGATCCGGTGGTGTGACGACACAGGATTTAGTAACAGAAACTGGCTGGTTTTCTGGTTGAAAGTGGGTCAGGCACTTCAGGTGTGCCCGAGAGTGTCTACTTTCACTTGATCGCTGACGTCTTGCCTTATTCCTTCGCGTTCCAAGTGCAACATTGGGCTACAAGAGCTGAGCTCTGAAGTTTCAATGGTGGTTTTGCTTTTACGGATTGAGGATGGTGACGTCCAATGATGCTATTTTCCAGACTAGCCGAGAGTTTGGAGTACGTAAGCCGGAAATCAAGCCCTGACTACGCGCTCAGTTGGCGACCACTCCACTACTGCACCACCACCACAGATGTTAGCTTCACAGTTTTTATTTCTTCGCGTTGGTGATATTGTAAGTGACCAAAGAAGTTCATCCATCCAATTGAACCTCAGCCATTTCGCCCTCGACGATCAATTTGATATCTGCGCCTGACTGGATGACATTTGGGACAAGGCAATTTTCAAGGGACAACAGAGCGATTTCCACTCTGTGCTGTGACCATGTATTCCCATACTCTCTCCATACTGTCGACAATAGATCTTTCCCAGAACACCCGTAGGTATTTGATTGTCCTCTAGGAAACCAGTTCGTTTGACTGCTTGAATGACTTTGAGTTCGCTTCCAGTTGGCCTTGACTAGAAATAATGTTCACGATTGGTGTGTGGCCATCTATCGTGCTGGACCAGAACTCTGGCCACATTACTTGCTGGCTGCTTAGCCTGGCGTACCCAACCAGTGACCAGACTGTCCTTAACATGGCCTCAACTAGCGAAGTCGGAATATGGCACTTACGGCCACTGATACGTGCACTTATTGACGATAAATTGGGGTGTAGAGAAATATAACCACACCATAACGCAGCTGCCGGACTCTTGTCATTTGAAAATCCAACAGTCTACCCCTTATTTGCCTCTACGAAGGTGAACTTCGTTAATACCCCATACTCTCTCCGCTAGTTTGGGCGGTGTTAGGAGCAGCCCGACCACTAGGTTAGGCGGGCCAGGCTAAAGAGCTAACAGGTAGTGTGGCCAGAGACCAGGTCTAGTAGGACAGATGGCCACAAAACAGTCGTGAGTGTTACTTCTGGCTGAATCGGATTGGAAAACAGTCTGGAAATCGTTCAAGCAGGCTTCACTCCTGATGATCTACTAGCTTTATGAGGGGCGTTTATTTAGGTTCGTTCACTTGTACATGCGAAAGAGATGCCGCCAAGATAGAAACGCAGGATGAATAGGAAGAGAATCTTAGGAAATTATTTAAAGAGTTGTGTACTTTACCACTGTTCGTCGGATTGGTCGTCATTGTGGGACTCAAGGAGGTGAAATAGCGCCCTTCGGTAAGTAATACTCTGTGGATTCTTGAACACATACGTATATCCGGTCTCCCAGGCATACTCGCACGCTCCTTCTTCTCTGTGGTCGCAGCTATCAACAGCACATCCACTGAATTGGTTGTATTCTATTTCTCTGGATGGCTGACTGCCGGTTTCAGAGGTTCACCTTCCACATTTATTAACGAAACACCTAGAATCCTCGGGAAAACTGTTGCATCGACAGCCAGATGCCTAACTATCAGAAGAAAGTGAGGCTTTCGGATTATTTGCGTAAGTTCATTACAGGGTAGTGGTGTATCACAGTCTTGTTGTTAACTTCTTCGTACAAAACGCGTTTGTCTGACATTTCAGGTGAAACTATTCTCCCCATATCCACATCTGTTGCGGGTGTTTGTCTCCTCACGAATCGCTATATCATGGGGTTTATGCAACACAGTTTGCTGTGGACACTCAGAGGTAGTAAATGATTGAGCAACTAGGAAGGATAGGGTAAGTAACCAGATGGAGACTGTGCCTTCTTTATGATTTGTAAGGCTTTCTCTATCTAGTGAATAATGAATGCCCTCTCCGTGTGTCTGACAAAGTTTTCCGGGTCACCCGCCCTCTGTTGTACCTACAAGAACAAAGGGTTAAGATCACCATTAGTCTTATGCAATATCACAAGCTGTCAGTCTGTAACTCGAGCAATTATTTTGATAGAAAATTTGGTTTCTAAAGTGGTGAGCCCTCTTCATTCTATTTTAATACAGTCGATTATAATCTACATTTCTGTTTCCAGATATTTTTCACTCGTGCGTACTATTTATTTCAATTTTTATTCATTATAGTGTCTCGTTTGCCAGACATAGAGACTGACTTTAAAATCTCTACTTCTGTGGAGGCGGATTCCTCAGTAACCACTAAAGCTAGATTGCCTGAATTCGATTGACATGACCCGGGCCTGTGGTTTACTCGACTAGAGCACTACCTTGGCCGTTATAGCATTAAGTCTGAATTCGCTAGATATGACGATGTGTGGGATTAGCAAGGAGGAGTGGGACCTCGTACTCCATCCCTCCAACTGGAAGCCATACACAGTGCCTGAGCGCGAAGTGATAAAACGCCTACCTATAATAGGAAACCAGCGCATACAACGGTTGCCTCAAGGGGAGAATATGGGAGAAAGATCCCTATCTCAGTTCTTGCGCCATCTGCAGCAGCTTGGGAGGGGAACAGCACGGCGTAAAAGGCTGTGCTGAAACAAGCTCTGTCGTAAGCCGCCCCCAAGACTATGTGCAACAAGCCATAGACGCACAAAACCCTGACTCCCCTCTTGAACAGTTAGCACGCATCACTGATCGGATATTGGGGAGGAAACGACTAACAGAAAGGCTGGCATACCAAATGAGTGCAATCAAAGACCCAATGATCTCAGAACTATTGACCAACGTCAGATCACTAACGGCACAACTCTCAGAACATGTAGACTGTTTTACGACAATCTCCTTATTTTTGTGAGATCCTTTGGTTTTATAAGTTGGTTTTCATGCTGAGAAACGCTTGGTGTTTTCCAATGAAATGACAGCATCTAAATATTTGCTTGAGTTCTGACAGATGTTACATCTTTCAATAGCTTGTCAGTGGTGAGGCATTCTCTTTATTCAGAGGATGTTATCATAGATTTCGCCAAAGTTCATTTTGCCTTACTACAGTTGCTATATACATTTGTTTTGAAGTAGAGGTATGAGACTTGGTGAAAGTGGCAGTGCATACGTCACTGTCTATTGGTCGGTACCTGAAAATTATGAACCAACAAAGGTTGATAGGGGACTTCCATTGTGACAGAGCATTAAATCAAGTACGTTATTAACTCCTGTAGAGATGATGACAGTTTGTTTTCAGCCGAAAATATCCAGTGCATATAGAAGCTCATCAAATTTATGTGTGCCTATAGGTCTTAGTTGATTTCGGGTAGGTGTAAGCATCCAAATAGGATCATATGATTAAATGGAAGGGTGAACACCTGCCCCAACGCGTCAATAATCTGGGTCTCACAGTCACTTAAGGTGCCAGGTGTTACGCTAATAAATTCAATTAGTATTGCAGCATTTCTGAAGTGTACGTTGACCCACGGAATGTCAGGCATTTTGTTCATTTACCTATTTTCTAGCTGTAATAGAGTGAAAGTTTCCAGTGGGTACATCAGGCAGCGTCTCCTATTACAAGTTTTCCTTTCAATGTGTGAACCAATTTATCGATGCTAACCTATCCGCATGTCACATTAGGGTGGCACCAAGACTCATTATAAATAAGTGTACGGGGTCTATATATTAGTGTGAGTGCGTCAGTAGGTTGCTTGGGATATATCTAGCGTTAATAAGAGCGGAGTGAGGAGTAACAAGGAGCTTCTGTTGAGCAGACCCGGCCTTTGTCTTTCGTACGATACTGAGTGCAGCCGTTGTATCAACCAGGAAATCCATACCAGAGCTTTTACGCTTGACGTAAAATGAGCGACTGTTTGAGCACTCCTTCTCAGCAGTCACTATCCGAGAACAGGTCAGTCGTTTTCCCATTGCTTGCTAAACGGTTTAGGCCAGGCGCATGGTTCTGGGCATTCTTGAATCTCCGCCAAATCTCCAGTGATACCAACAGAATCGGCCTGTTTACCTGGTTTGTGTGGATCTACAAATCTGGCCGCGAACGTGCTCTATTAGGCAGTCTACGTAGTCTGAGGGTTGTGCCGTTAGTGATTTGACGTTGGTCAATAGTTCTGAGATCATTGGGTCTTTGATTGCACTCATTTGGTATGCCAGCCTTTCTGTTAGTCGTTTCCTCCCCAATATCCGATCAGTGATGCGTGCTAACTGTTCAAGAGGGGAGTCAGGGTTTTGTGCGTCTATGGCTTGTTGCACATAGTCTTGGGGGCGGCTTACGACAGAGCTTGTTTCAGCACAGCCTTTTACGCCGTGCTGTCCCCCTCCCAAGCTGCTGCAGATGGCGCAAGAACTGAGATAGGGATCTTTCTCCCATATTCTCCCCTTGAGGCAACCGTTGTATGCGCTGGTTTCCTATTATAGGTAGGCGTTTTATCACTTCGCGCTCAGGCACTGTGTATGGCTTCCAGTTGGAGGGATGGAGTACGAGGTCCTACTCCTCCTTGCTAATCCCACACATCGTCATATCTAGCGAATTCAGACTTAATGCTATAACGGCCAAGGTAGTGCTCTAGTCGAGTAAACCACAGGCCCGGGTCATGTCAATCGAATTCAGGCAATCTAGCTTTAGTGGTTACTGAGGAATCCGCCTCCACAGAAGTAGAGATTTTAAAGTCAGTCTCTATGTCTGGCAAACGAGACACTATAATGAATAAAAATTGAAATAAATAGTACGCACGAGTGAAAAATATCTGGAAACAGAAATGTAGATTATAATCGACTGTATTAAAATAGAATGAAGAGGGCTCACCACTTTAGAAACCAAATTTTCTATCAAAATAATTGCTCGAGTTACAGACTGACAGCTTGTGATATTGCATAAGACTAATGGTGATCTTAACCCTTTGTTCTTGTAGGTACAACAGAGGGCGGGTGACCCGGAAAACTTTGTCAGACACACGGAGAGGGCATTCATTATTCACTAGATAGAGAAAGCCTTACAAATCATAAAGAAGGCACAGTCTCCATCTGGTTACTTACCCTATCCTTCCTAGTTGCTCAATCATTTACTACCTCTGAGTGTCCACAGCAAACTGTGTTGCATAAACCCCATGATATAGCGATTCGTGAGGAGACAAACACCCGCAACAGATGTGGATATGGGGAGAATAGTTTCACCTGAAATGTCAGACAAACGCGTTTTGTACGAAGAAGTTAACAACAAGACTGTGATACACCACTACCCTGTAATGAACTTACGCAAATAATCCGAAAGCCTCACTTTCTTCTGATAGTTAGGCATCTGGCTGTCGATGCAACAGTTTTCCCGAGGATTCTAGGTGTTTCGTTAATAAATGTGGAAGGTGAACCTCTGAAACCGGCAGTCAGCCATCCAGAGAAATAGAATACAACCAATTCAGTGGATGTGCTGTTGATAGCTGCGACCACAGAGAAGAAGGAGCGTGCGAGTATGCCTGGGAGACCGGATATACGTATGTGTTCAAGAATCCACAGAGTATTACTTACCGAAGGGCGCTATTTCACCTCCTTGAGTCCCACAATGACGACCAATCCGACGAACAGTGGTAAAGTACACAACTCTTTAAATAATTTCCTAAGATTCTCTTCCTATTCATCCTGCGTTTCTATCTTGGCGGCATCTCTTTCGCATGTACAAGTGAACGAACCTAAATAAACGCCCCTCATAAAGCTAGTAGATCATCAGGAGTGAAGCCTGCTTGAACGATTTCCAGACTGTTTTCCAATCCGATTCAGCCAGAAGTAACACTCACGACTGTTTTGTGGCCATCTGTCCTACTAGACCTGGTCCCTGGCCACACTACCTGTTAGCTCTTTAGCCTGGCCCGCCTAACCTAGTGGTCGGGCTGCTCCTAACACCGCCCAAACTAGCGGAGAGAGTATGGGGTATTAACGAAGTTCACCTTCGTAGAGGCAAATAAGGGGTAGACTGTTGGATTTTCAAATGACAAGAGTCCGGCAGCTGCGTTATGGTGTGGTTATATTTCTCTACACCCCAATTTATCGTCAATAAGTGCACGTATCAGTGGCCGTAAGTGCCATATTCCGACTTCGCTAGTTGAGGCCATGTTAAGGACAGTCTGGTCACTGGTTGGGTACGCCAGGCTAAGCAGCCAGCAAGTAATGTGGCCAGAGTTCTGGTCCAGCACGATAGATGGCCACACACCAATCGTGAACATTATTTCTAGTCAAGGCCAACTGGAAGCGAACTCAAAGTCATTCAAGCAGTCAAACGAACTGGTTTCCTAGAGGACAATCAAATACCTACGGGTGTTCTGGGAAAGATCTATTGTCGACAGTATGGAGAGAGTATGGGAATACATGGTCACAGCACAGAGTGGAAATCGCTCTGTTGTCCCTTGAAAATTGCCTTGTCCCAAATGTCATCCAGTCAGGCGCAGATATCAAATTGATCGTCGAGGGCGAAATGGCTGAGGTTCAATTGGATGGATGAACTTCTTTGGTCACTTACAATATCACCAACGCGAAGAAATAAAAACTGTGAAGCTAACATCTGTGGTGGTGGTGCAGTAGTGGAGTGGTCGCCAACTGAGCGCGTAGTCAGGGCTTGATTTCCGGCTTACGTACTCCAAACTCTCGGCTAGTCTGGAAAATAGCATCATTGGACGTCACCATCCTCAATCCGTAAAAGCAAAACCACCATTGAAACTTCAGAGCTCAGCTCTTGTAGCCCAATGTTGCACTTGGAACGCGAAGAAATAAGGCAAGACGTCAGCGATCAGGAGAAAGTAGACACTCTCGGGCACACCTGAAATGCCTGACCCACTTTCAACCAGAAAACCAGCCAGTTTCTGCTACTAAATCCTGTGTCGTCACACCACCGGATCTGTGGAAGGAGGTGGTGAAAAAATGCCTCTCATTTAGGCATTACAATCTTTAAGGTCAACTCATGGCAGGATGGACGGAATGTGACACTTGCTAGTTATTTCTGACTCACACATTCGTAAGGATAGCCGACTGGATATAAGACAGCCGTTTGACAGCCAGTAGTGGGCATTTAGAGGAGGCAATCCACGGACTAAACTATTTCACACGTACTTCACGAGAACCACCACTCTGTAGAGTTTTCCCAAGCCCAACGAATGATCTGAAACAAGTTTGACCATCATCTCAGCTGTAAGCTTTTACCAACCTTCTAATGTCACATTACTGTCCGAAGGATAGTGGGACACGAAGGAGACTACTCGTGTAGCACTGTTTGAAATATGGGTATATTCATGGAATCGGTAGCCCGTTACATGGTCACAAAGTGCCTCCATGTAGTCGATCAGTTGCAGGGGTTGTTCACACAGATGGGAATGAATGAGATTGTGGCTACAAGCATTTGCTGGTTATGTTGGTTAATGTTACCTCTTCAAAGCCAGTACATCACGACGAAAACGGTGAACTCTCACTGTTCAAAAATCTTAAGATGTTTCCCTCGGACTTAGCACACAACAAGGAATCACAGGAACATAAAAGCCTGTAGTAAGAGAAGGCCAAATGTCCTGTGGCAACAATGTAGCAAAGTAGCACTACAAACTCAGACGTATTTCGTCGTTGAGCAGAAGAATACAGTAGTAGTCACAAACACGAGGACGGGCAGATTTCTTTTCATTGGAGTTTATTGCTTATGGAATTCACGACTTATGGAGAAGGCTAAGTGGCTATGAAATGTAGGAAAGGGAAGATTTAATAACCGACCCACCTAACAAAACAATTGCATGAATTCTCGACTGGCAAAACGCATAGAGTAGTTTACGAGTTAGTTTATTTCGGAAGCACACTGGCGAGCAAGTGGATAGGAGAAACCTAAACAAACACATGGAAGACAATTCACGCCCCAATATCGTTCGATGGACAGAGAGAGCCTTAAAAATCACTGAGAGGAAATAGGTCATATATTTTACTCGTCTTGTTTTCCTGAATTCCCTAATTGCTAACTGCTATCAATTGCTGAACAGACCCTACGAAGGAAACCGTCTAGATTTGTGGAGTAGAATTAACACCACAATCATTCCGGTTACTTTCTTATAGTATTCCCCTACTTTTTGTTTTCCACGAATATTCTTCCTCTCCCATTCTCAATATCTTTCTATTATATTTTGATACATATGTTTCGCCAACAGGATTTTTCGGTTTTTCCTGCTACAGCATTCTGACCTGTTCACTCCTGCAATGATCTGAAAGGTTTTCTAGTGAAATGACGATTCAAAATCAAAGATGAAAATGTTATCAGGTTACTGTCATTCCCTTGCATTCTGCAGCTTATGTCCACCTTACTCACTAAAACACTGTTCCTCATATTCTAAACTTACCTTCATTCTAACCCATTTCAATGTAGATAAATTAAGCGGAGAGTAGATCTACCGTTTCCCAATGCAAAGAAACTCACATAACTTTGAAAAGATAGCTGTGAAAGATCATTAGTTTTACACTAGCCTGTCACTAAGACATTTGACCCTGTATGTGTTTATGTGAACAGAGTTGTTGAGGTCATTGACTGTTCTTATTGAAAACAATTAGGTGTTACCGCTAACCGTTCAACTGGTATGTTTTCCAATGTAGATTTTGAAGTATCTGGGTACGTACAGTCAATTTCAGTAATGAGGGAAACTTGGTCAGAAATCTGATTAATGTTCGCACCATGAATATGATAAATGTGACTGTAAATGTAGAGAGCCTCAAGTTTACTGATATTTGATGTCGAAATGGATTTTAATCAGCATAAACTTCACAAAAGCAGAAACTTGCCTCAAATCCAACTAATAATTAGTCTGATTGTGTTGCCAGGAAGCGCATATGTGTATGAAATTATATTGAGGTATTGCGTGTATCTAGTACATGATGTTTCGTAAATAGTGTAGTTTACGTGCTCGGCGTCGATCGTAGTGATACCAGTATTAGTTGATAATTGACTCCTGATTTCTCATGGAAAGATGCTTTGGCACACACATGCTAAGTTTGGCGGTTGAAAAAATTTCGTGTCATTTAATTGTGTCCGCTCTATGGTCTGAGCCAACCAAGTGCCTCGTGACTGTAGTGACTAAAGACTTACTTCCTCTTAATCACAGACTGTTCAGCACTTGTTCAAAAAGCTAAGATAGCCCATTTTGTATTTTTTGAATGTTCTGTAACTAATTTAAAAAGTATGATTCTCTCTGATTGTGAATCACTTTTCTGGCGTTCAGTTCCTCACAGGTTCCTCTGCCATGTAGGTCTGACAAGTTTCGATAAAATCGAATTATAGGTCACAGCCAATTACTGCAAGTTACGAAAATGCCAGCAAAGTAGCAGACCACATCAAGAAGCAAATACGAATAGTGCCAGAGATAGGAATAATCTGTGGAAGTGGGCTTGGTAACTTGGCTGATGGAATAGAAGATAAAACTGTCATTCGATATGAAGACATACCAAATTTCCCTCGGACAAGCGGTAAGGCGTAAGCGAAGCTTTTTCATTCGTTTCAGTGGTCGGACATGCGGGCAATCTAGTTTTCGGTCAACTTGGAAATCGAAAAGTGGTTGCCATGCAAGGCAGGTTCCACATGTATGAGGGCTACTCTAAAGAACAAGTAAGATGTGATGTATATTACTCATCTTCCACCGAAGATCGCTCTTCCTATTCGCGTGTTGAAATTTTTGGGAGTCAAAGTGCTTATAGTAAGTAATGCATGTGGTGGTCTGAACAGAGGTTTCAAATGTGGTGATTTCATGGTGATAAAAGACCACATAAGCCTACCCGGTCTAGCTCTGAATAATGTGCTGATGGGATCAAATGAGGAGAAGTTTGTTGCAATTAATTTTAACATTTATAATAAATAGGTTTGGGCCCAGATTCTTAGCAACCTCAAATGCATACAACTCCGAAATTCGTAAATTGGCCATTCAATTATCTGAGAAAATGAATATTCGTCATTTGGTTCATGAAGGTGTATATGCTTTTACTGGTGGTCCAACATACGAATCCCCTGCTGAATGCAAAATGCTGCTCGCGATGGGTGCAGACGTGGCTGGTAAGTCAGAAGTACGGTATGCGCATACAAATTTCTCCTGAAATGCTGATTACAGCTGGTTGATCTGCTACTGAGACAGAAAAGATTGAGGATAACTTCTTAGGATTCATGATGTTAAAAAGGCTTAGCTGGTATGCTAAGCCTTGTACGGAAAAGTAATCTGCACATATGGAATGTATTAGATGGTAATTGTCGAGAGATTTGAAAGTTAGGTGATATGAATACAATTTAGTTACACTGGTGTGAGATTGCCCCTGTGTTTCTTAAATAGCCTAGACTCTTTAACATACCACATATTCTTCCCACTAACATGCTGTTTCCGATCTCAATAACAAATCTGTATTTCTAATCATTTTATTCTCCTTATCATGCAGATTTAGGTGAGGAACTCATGTGTAGGTTTCTGCTTTGTGGCGTTTGCTTGTCTGTAAAATGACTTTTGTGTGTGTTTGAGGGTAGAACTTACTCTACCTTCTTTGAACATAATGCACTCAAGTAATGAAAGCATCAATCAGTTTGAAGTGAAATTCGAGTGAATTAAAATAATGTCCATGTTCCATGTCTTTCTAGGGAGTGTCGAAATACTATTTCTAACATTGTGTTGGTCGAATTCAAAATAGAATTTGGCAATCTTATCAACGATTTTTGAGTGGAGATTTAAGTTAACTGACTTAGTGACAAATAGATTGAAGCACTGGCTGACTAAAATACAACCTAGGGCAGACAGTTGATTTCCGAGTTATGTTTTGTGTTTGGGTTTAACTTGACAACTAAAAGCTGGTTTGAAAGGTATTCTGTTAGCATTTCACAACGTGTTGAACCATTAGATAGAATAATTGAATAAATAAATAAACTTCATCGCGAACTATTTGAAACTCATCAATTAATAGGAGTGACCTGATTCCAAGTAATCATAATCTACTTGGAATTTAAAGCAACAAGATAATCCCACCAAACTATAAAATGCTGTTTAGTAAGCTTACGAAAAAGGATAACAAAGAGTTCTATATCAAATTCTTTCATACTACTGTAATTTATTGACTTACTGATAGTGTCCCACATTACAGCATAAGTTCATATTTCATAACAAGGTACTGTTTATTTTCATCAGAAGTGCTGAAAGTGGAGGAGAACTTAAGCTTATCTGACGAATGTATATTCTCAAATCAAATATAGTCAGTCAGTCAGGGAATGGGGGCAAAAGATTTCTGAAACAGATGGTGATTTGGTTGGAATAACATACACATATTTTGACTTTTGTCACTATTTACTGCAAATTCAATTTGTATTTTCTAAATATGTTGTAGGCATGAGTACGGTTCCAGAAGTGTTAATTGCACGTCATTGTGGAATGACTGTCTTTGCTGTTTCATTGGTTACAAATGTGTGTATTCTCGATGTAGAGAGTAAGGCAATAGCCAATCATGAGGAGGTTGTAGCTACTGCAAACAAAAGTGCTCAAATTTTACAGTCATGGATTAAGGAAATAATAAACAATGTTTCAATTAATAATTAACTAACTAATAGAGAGGAAAATAAGTGATGACAGTTTCACTCATCCCCTGCAACAAATCAATTTCATCTACTTACTGCCTGCATGCATTCTGTTTGAATGATTCTTATGTTGTTGTATCCTACCTAACATAAAACACAATGATTGTGCTGCTACAGATGCTGTATCTTATGACTATCTCCAACATCTTCACAGTTATACGAAAAAACACACAAATGAAGTCAACATGATACCAAAATTTCGCCAATAATTTTTCTTGGATTTGTGTGAATTTTATTTTTATTCTGTACTACTTTTATTTATGATTTATTCGAAGATATTTATTTCTTCCTTAAATACGCGTCTTTTCTACAGTAAACTGGAAATATTTTGAATAAGTTGTAGATGTTTAATATCAACGTTTTTAAAGCGATCTGTACACGCTGGTATGTCTTGCTAACCAGTGCTCATAAACACAAGAACTTAGTGCTTCTGAGAGATTTATCATCATTAGTCTTAAGGAAACAATTCACAGAATGTTTACATCCTCTTGTTTAGTTTTCTCACAAATACGCCAGCATCGGGCATACCCGACTGATTACACTGAGCACTTCGTCTCAAATTGGGGGTCTCAATGAACCTCTGAAATATAACTCTAAGCCTATTGAAGCAAAGACTGCCTGCATTAGAGTTCAGTGTTAATTTTAATCGTTATGGGAAGCCTTTACACAGTTAAAATTTGCGATCAAATCGAAGCAAGATGAAGTATTTTGATGCATCCACTAACGATTTTTGCGAATTGTGTCTGACTCTTTATAGATGGCTTAGATTTAGTTGAATTTAGATTACAAACAGCATAAGAATGAGTGATGCCTCCAAAGCATCTAATACGCTGTCAGATGGAAAATATGATTTTCATATTGAGGTTGGGCGAAAATAAATATACAGTCATTTGTTGACTTCTGTTGATGTCCTTGAACTGTGCAGAAATGTGCGAATTTAATAATTACGAGACCGGATAAAAGTTGTGAAGTAGTAATCGTGAATAAGAGGGAATACATAGACAAGCTAACTATCATATTGAATGATCAGAGAAAATTTCAAAAGTAATTCAACTTCCAAACTTGACTGATGCAATTCAATATGCACCAAAAAAGGACTAGACACATTACGCTAGTTACTAGCTAACTAGTGTCCAAACAAAGTATCCAATACAGTCCTACAGGAGGTCAATCGCCAGTCCGAATACCTCAGTGTGGTAACTTCTCTGATTGAAACGGTCACTGGGTGAGGCGGGTTCGAATCTCAGAAGGGATGTAGGTTCCTCCCCCCAAGGTTTCAAATACGCCTGGATAACTGGTGAGTGCAAACTACGATGAAAGCGAGGAGAAGCACGCCTTCCCGTGGCCATTCGCCTCCAACCATCTAATATCAACAATTCACAGTGCAGTGCGTCGTAATGTCGATATACCTAGCATGGTGACCACATTGCAAACTTGACTAACAGCAGAATTTAGTCTGCAGTAAACAAAGGATACATTACACTAGTTACTGGCTAATTTCGAGTAAACTTGATATGATTATGAGCAATAAATTGTGCTCGAAACGTCATCAGTAAATATTACTGTATAACACTATGAGGCTCTATCAAAATAAAATTCACCCATAATGGAGTCCACTGACCACACTGTAAAGGTTTCCTCCACTGGATCCCTTTGAAATTCCTACATGTGGCTGAGGTATTTGGGAATACATATTTACAGAAATTTACGAATTCTATGTAAGAGGTACATCTTCTTCATGTTGACAATCATCTCCAATAGGAAATTCCATCATCTAAAAATGCTCGCTTAAATGTAACGGACAAACTTCCTCAAATATCATCAAATGTACCTAGGTATCAGCGTGAAATTCAATGATACTTTTACCAATCGTAAAATTCCAAGTCACCCTATACCCTAGTTCTAGGGTATGTTCTCTGAACATTTATCCCATTGATATATGGCTTTTACATTATGTTCACTCACTCTAATGCCTTAGTTGTGTCCTTACTAAGGTCAAAACTCGTACAAATACTTTAAATTTATATGTATATATCGTTAGTGATGGCTACAAGTATGCTAGTGTGGCGTGTGTTACTGACAAGACTTATCGGTAGTATATAAAGAGATGTTCACCGGCACAGAAGTAACATCAACTAGCGAGGAGACAGATTTAACTTCAAAAAGGGAGGAAATGAACCAACCAGTGCATTACGGCAAAACATGGGAGACACGAAAAGACAAAGAAAGACAATACGAAGGGCAGAGGTAACTCACAACACGGGAGATCTGTGCAAATGGTGATTTTGATATAAGGTGTACATAATTTACCCATATGTGTATATCAGATTGTAAATCAATATTCCGTTACCAAGTCTCTTGTCTTCTAGAGTTACATTTAGCGTCTCTGCCTCCAGACAATGAAGATCCCATGACTCTTTGCTTTCGAAGAAGGAGGCATTAGGAGATTTTGAGGACGTATCTGAGAGGTCAGATGATAAAAGGACCTGGTAGGTATTAGTTGAACGATTGTTGGTAGTGGAGTTCGACACATAGACAGCTGTCGGTGTAGCAGTTCCATGCCGTGAAGCTAGGACCAGACAGACACCCGTCAGTGTTGGCGGTGAAGCTGAAGAATCTACTTCGTCGCATGTAGTACATTTAGAATATCATTTTAAACGGCCATTTTTATGGGCATTAATTTAACATATTTCATGCTGACTGTTACTTCTTAGGAAGTAAGGGCCAAAAGTTTTTCAAATTACGTATTCACTGAAGACTCCTCAGTTCTAAAGAACTAGGTTTACTCTAGGGTATTTTCACACACAAAACAACCAACTTCAAATTATCCAGATATTCAAAAGGGAAGTTGTCAGTAGTTGGTATTACACAGTGAAATAATTAACATCAAGATAGCTTCACACTTGTTTCCATAATTAGTAAAGCAGCAAGCAACTAGTAAATGGTGAAAACTCCTAAATTTCGAAATTTAAAATCTTCTGTGATGAGTATAACTAGATGGAATTTTGAGAACACTAGTTATTCTTATAGCACTATTGAAGAATAATGATATAATTCTTGAATAGTTTTTATTTTGACTAAATTAAATGTATGACATTAAATAATAAAATATTAAAAAGTGATTTCATCATGAGTTAATATTGGCGACATAGCCATTGAAAAACCAGCAGGGAATACTGCCAGACAGCTGTTCCCGTTGTCCTAGTTCGGGACTCATCAGCAGTACGCTCTCACCACCGGGGTCCGAACCCACAATCTTCCGGTTACAAGGCGAGCGAGCTCGTAGACCATTCACCAGCCACCAGGAGCCAGCAATCCTATAGCCAGCCCATGAATTCTAACTTCTGTCTATTCATTCACGATATAGCGCGATTGGCACTAACCGATTTCATCGGTGCCGAGTATTTGTCCTCACACCCAACCTGCGCACTGCTGAAGTGTCTCAAACTAGGACGAAATAGCTGTTCAGTACTCTCAAGTGGTTTCCCAATGGTTCTCTAACCAACGTCAGCTCATGCTGAAACCCTGTGATCAATCAAATCCCCGCTGCAAACCGACACTTGGATATTAGGAAATGAAACTGATGTATATCGTATCACCTAACTTCATGAAACAAAGAAGTATGGAGTAAAAATGTGCTTCTTTTTCTGTGAATGAACTTTCCAAGTTTAAGCGAAACAGGAAAGAAATGAAGTCATACTGACAGGTAATCTAATGTCTGATGTGGATTATTTATGAATTGAAAAATAGTAAGGGTCCTTTGAATGTCAAGGAACTCAATGGATTTCTACGTTATTTTGTCAAGGTTGCTGTAGTGATTGTGAAGACTACAATTCTTCTATGATTGTGTCACTGATCAGGAAGTTCTCGAAATGGTTCTTTGGAAAGCAGTGAGACGGAGTCATATGTATCACTTAGATGCAATGTAGCTGATTATGTTGATTCCATTTGATAATTTATTCCAGAACTCCAACGGATGTAATTGATGTAATTACTCAGAAGTGGCTTCAAAAGTAAAGATAAAAGTTATAAATTACGTATCAGTCAACAACTGCACAAAAGGATGAAGTGTTAGAATTCGATGACGTTAAAGTTGTCATTGAGTAGTGAGAAGAACAGTATTCGATTTTCCATTTAACAAGTGTGAAGAGGGTGAGAAAATGTGCAAATGGAGCGTGTGAGAGAGTGGTAATGTTACATTAACTATCAAAGTAAAAGCAAACTAATCATTAAAAAGAAGAAATAGAAATTTCCAGGAAACGACTAATGAAGAGGTTAAGAGCATGGTATAATATGAGATTGGACGGGCGCATTCTGTATACAGAGTTCGGAGTTGTTCTCAAGGATCGACAACGCCTCTGCCATAGACAAATGACGAAACCTAACTCTTTTTGCACCATTCAGTCTCACCTTGCAGATAATCTCAAAAGATCACTCTGGTGGAGCTGCGTGGCATGGGTTCACGAAGTTCTCGACAATCAAGCCAGTAACTATCTTGCATTGTCCTTTTGCTAACCACGTCAGATAATGTTAAGATGTTCGTTAGGATAGTATGGATTTTGTGAGGTCAATATAACTAGCTCCACAGGAACATATGAATTTATAAACAAACATTGATGTGGTCCATCCAAAGTAGCAGCTTATCCTCCACACAACCACTTACCATTTGTCGGCTGTCAAAATCGGTCTGCATCTCAGATGAAAAGAAGGCTTGTCTCAGTAATCTGCATAAGCCATTCTTCAGAATCTCAGCTACAGCATCATCTTCAAATTAAGCGTCCATGTAAATGGCTGTTTCTTCGTCACTGTTTGGCTTCTTTCTGACTCTTGCATTACTTTCATCATTTTGTCGATGAATCTTGAAGGGAATCCATCCTCCATGAGGAGTTACTTGTCTGAGTCATTCCAGTTCACCATCGATTGTATCATCACTGGTGTATATCCTTCTTATTCTCGAGGATGAGGATTAGATCAGA